ACCTGGCAGCACCCAGACACCATCGCTTGAAAGGATGCCCACGAGGAAGGTGACCCAGGGAGCAGCCTGGTGATGCCCGCTGAAGCCCTTCATGGAGAGGCAGCAGGCTTGGGCAGCTGCTTCCATGCCGAGGTGGTGGCATCTCTGCAGACCAGCCTAGGGGAGGACTCCAGGGTGGACAGCCCCCGAGGTCCACCCTACGCTGACGCAGAAGCTCCCAGAACACTCAGGAAACCTCTCTGGACAGAGCCCTCTTTGTCAACCCGAGACCCTCCCCAAGACCTCTACTGCCCTCTGGGTCCAGCAGAGGGGGTGGAGGAGGGGCCATGCCCTCCCACCTAGAGCTTCTCTGAATGACAATCAGCTCCTGCCAGGTGGGGACCAGGGCATGACCCCTGGTACCCCGGTCCTGGGCCTGCTCCTTGCTACCAACCGAACTGTGAATGTAGGGCCCCAGCCTCACCCCTGCCCCAGGACCAACAACACCCTGGTTTGGTGTTGGGAGGAAAAGGGGGTGACCTGAGAGAGCCCAGGCCCATCCTACCGTCCTGCTTCACCCCGCACCGAAGGTGGGCAGAGCTGCAAAATCCTGTCTGTCCTTGGGAAACCAGACCTCCCCAGGGCTCCTAACTGACCTCAGGCCTCTGCGTCACTGAATGTCACCAGAGTTGGGAAGGAGGCGCAGGGGCGAGTGTGGGAGGAGGCTAGAGGATTCTGCTTCTCTCCCCAGGAAGGATCCAAGGCAGAGGAAACCATGTCCCCCAGTGCCCCACCCCCAGCTGCAGCCTCTTCTCCCTTGAGCACCATCCCCTCCACCAAGCTCTGCAGGTCCTGAGCCCCTTCTCTGTCAGTGTCACACCACCACCACCACCACCACCGCTGCACTCCAGCACTTCCTCATGACAGCCCCTGTCACTGGCTCAGATGCGGGGCTGCCCACCCCAGACATGCCTTCCCTCCCCAGCCTCACTGTGCACCAAGAGGGTGCAGGAGATGTACCCCAGGCACATGGGCGCCCCCTTCCCAGCTCCTCACAGGGGCCTGGCTTGCTCAGTCTTCTCTGGGGACCGGCCCCGGTGGGCTGGGGTTGGGGACAGGGAGTTGCCCTCCCCTTCTCCAGGGAAGCCACAGAAGAATGTTTACATGCCAAACAGAATGTAACACCCGGCCCCCGTCACTGCATGGCCTCTGCCCACCCCGCACCTTTCCACCCCTACCCCAACATCCGGGAAGCCGCTGTCATGATTAGATCGGGTCTCAGAGGGAAGTAGCCATCACACCATTAAAAAGCCTGTGGACCTTTCTTTCTGTTGGCCTGGACTCTTCTTCCTTTGGGGGAGAGGGCAGAGACCAGGCCCTGGGCTGGGGGTGGCAGGAGAGAAGAGCTCAAGTTGGTGGGCAAGTGTGGCCGTGGACGGACTGTCATGGAGGCGGACTGTCTCTACCAGCAGAAATGGAAGCTTGGAGGATGCAGGTAACCTGCTCAGGGCCGCACTGGTGGGAGGGACTTCCTGCTGCCTCTGATGGCAAAGCTGCGCCCTCTCCGCTCGCTTGGCTGTCTGACCAAGGGCCAGAGACTCCCAGTCTAGCTTTGTGCAGAGAGGAAGGGAGGAAAAATTGTCAGTGCCCAGAAGTTAACAGATAAAAATGAGTGTGTTTGGAAAACCATGAAGTACAACAGCTCACAGGCAAGGAAGGACAATGGTCACTATTCTAGCAAAATCTATGAAAATCACAAATAGACATAGCCTGTGGCTCAACCCTTCTAGAAAGGTATCCTAAACTCACAAGATTGAGTGTCTAAAAGTATTCATTGCAGCATTCTCTGTATAGTTCCACAAAGCCTCACCTCAATTCTGAAGCCCACAAAGTTCTGAAAACTGGAAGTTTTTCCATTGTTTTGGCACAAGTCTCTGACAAAACTATTTGTAGTCTTCTTTAAAAAATTTATAATATTTTTTCCTTTAAAAAAATTTTTGTTGTTGTTGATTTCAGAGAGGAAAGGAGAGGGTTAGAGAGAAACATCAATGATGAGAGAGAATCTTTGATCGGCTGCCTCCTGCACAACCCCCTCCACGGATCAAGTCCAAAACCTAGGCATGTACCTGACCGGAAATCGAACTGAGTCCTCCTGGTTATAGGTAAACACTCAAACATTGAGCCAAACTGGCCGGGCTATAGTCATTATTAATTCCACTTATCATACATGTTTGCAGTGGAAATAATACTGTGATTATGGAGTGCTGTCTTGGATTCTATTGGGGGTTTTCATAATGTATGGAATATACACTGAATTGCCTTTTTAAATATTATATACACATGTGTTTGAACTGTAAAGAAATCGGGTAAGAGACTGTGGACCTGTAAAAGCAGAAGTTCAGATGTAATTTTAATGCCTGGTTGTTGGGGCTCATTATATCAAGCCGCCCATACAATGGGGACCCCACTGTCTGGTACTGTGAAGTGTCTACTGCAGGTGACTCTTTGTAGACACTTTCAACTGGTCTCTAAGAGAGTAAAAAAAATGTGTGTATAATGTGCAACTATTTATTTTTTATAAAAATATATATTTTTTATTTCAGAGAGGAAGGGAGAGGGAGAGAGAGAAACATCAATGATGAGAGAGAATCATTGATTGGCTGCCTGCTGCACTCCCCACACTGGGGATCGAGCCCACAACCTGAGCATGTGCCCTTGACCGGAATCGAACCTGAGACCCTTCAGCCCACAGGCTCTATCCACTGAGCCAAACTGGCTAGGGCTAATGTGCATCTATTTAGATGAGTTAGAGGTCTCAAATTGCTTCTGGGAGGCAAGCAAGGGGGAAGGGGGCTTTACAGTAGTGTATTTGCAGTACCTTTTGCATTTTGGACCCTACATTCACTAAGTGTGAATCTTTCATCTGGGTAATACCATAAACAGTTTCTGTCCCAGGGCAGGCTCCTGGCCCTGCCTGGGGTCTGAGGTAAGAGAGCCCAGGCTCCAAAGTCATGCTCTCCCCCTGAGAAGACCACCAGACACAGCTCTAACACCCCAGAACCCATGTAACCACCTTCTGTGCCCCACAGGGGCCTCCTGGAACCCCCTTTTCTCTGGCATGGGTGCCGGGGGGCTCTTGGGCCTGATTCACCAGCCTTGAGTAAGGCGCTCACATGCTTCTGTCTTCCTCCTTGTTCAAGAATGTCAAAAGCAAGCCATGTTTGCAGTAAAAAGGCAAATGCTAAAAGCGTATAAACTGCCCTAGCTGGTTTGGGTCAGTAGATAGAGTGTCGACCTGCGGACTGAAGGGTCATGGGTTCGATCGCTGGTCAGGGTACATGCCCTTGTTGTGGGGTTGATCCCAGTAGGGAGCGTGCAGGAGGCAGCCGATCAATGATTCTCTCTCATCATTGATGTCTCTCTCTCTCTCTCTCTCCTTCTCTCTCCCCCTTCCTCTCTGAAATCAATAAAAATATATATTTTTAAAAAGCATATAAACTAAAACATGAAAGCCCCCTATCTATATGGAATATGATCATGTAAAGGTAGTATGTTTAGAGTTGTGCAACCATCACCACAATCAGTGTCAGAACATTTCCATCACCCACTAGCAATCACTCCCATTTTCCCCCAACTCCTCCGGAGTAAGCAACCACCAACCTACTACTTCCTGTCCCTGTACAGGTTTTTTTATTTTGGACATTTCGTATAACTGGAATCCCACAATGTGTGGTTCTTTGTAACCACCTCCTTTCACTTAGCGTGTTTTCAAGGTTCATCCATGTGGTAGCATGTATCAGTACTTCATTCTTTTTTATGGCTGGATAACATTCTGCTGTATGGACAGACCACATTTGTTCATCCATTCATCATGGACTTGGGTGGTTTTTTTTTCTCCCTGTTGGCTATTCTGAATAATGCTGATATGAATGTTTACAAGTGTTTATGCGGGCATACGTTTTCATTCCTCTTGGATATATATCCTGTGAAAATATCCAAAATAGAATTGCTGGGTCATATGGTAACTCTATGTTTAACATTTTGAGACAGTATGAAGCTTTTCCGCAGTGGCCACACCATTTTACATTCCCACTAGTAATGTATGAGGATCCTTACGATCTTTTTAATGACTACTTAGTAGTCCATGACATGAATGTTCCACCTCCTCATCTATTTAACCATCTCCATGCTGATTTTCATTAGATTTTTTCCAAGTTTTTACTATTTCAAATAGTGCCGCAATTAATATCCTTGCTTTGATGTTTGTTACTTTTCTAAGTCTAATTCTAGCAAAAATCCCCAGAATAATCAAATAGATGAAAAATTATATCTCGTTCTATTTTTTTAAATACGGTATATTTTATTGATTTTTTACAGAGAGGAAGAGAGAGGGATAGAGAGTTAGAAACATCGATGAGAGAGAAACATCGATCAGCTGCCTCTTGCATGCCTCCCTACTGGGGATGTGCCCGCAAGCAAGATACATGCCCTTGGCCGGAATCGAACCTGGGACCTTTCAGTCCGCAGGCCAATGCTCTATCCACTGAG